TTTTTAGAAATCATTGTTGACTTCAAATTGGACTTACATCCTACTAACTGAATGCTCTTTGACTATGAAGTGATCTGATGCAAACTAGCGATAATATTGCATACTTTTAAACATAACCAACTTAACTTGATAGACTGTTAGTAGTAAATAGTAGTTACGGAACGCAAAGATCGAACTTTCTAAGTGCAAAATCTCAGAATGGGAAAATATTAGTGACGGCATAATAACTTCAGTGAACAGCTTTTAATAAATGATTAAACGTCAAAATTTTCCATTCCACAAGGTAGAAACATGTGGATACTATTTCATAAACCATTCTCACCTAATCATGGTTAATAATACTACAGGATCTCAGCCGTGCAGGAGAAAAATGAAAGACAGATAGTTTTTTGAATGGTCTCTTACAGTGAAATCGTGAATCAATCATTGTCAGATCACCATCAGGAACCTGGAAACAACAGACAGCCAGCTCGTCACAGTATGGGGCTCTTCAGCAATGCGCATCCATGACTTTCGCTCGCGGAAATCGAACTCAGAACCTCTAGTCTTGCTCGCAAACTCTTAACCTCCAGACTACTGAGTCGGTGTTACTGTCCAAATTTAATAAGTCCGAGGTATTTCACAACCTTATCGACTGTCTCCGGTAGTTACTGGCTAAATTTCGACAGGGTTGAACTCTACTGGTCATGGCTGCTGACTAGAACTCCGAGAATCGCCTCAAGAATCAGTCACTAGTGAACACGTTTTGTGATTTTTGAACGATAGTTTTCTGGAGTTCGTTGTTTCACGATGAAATCGTGATGCCGTCTCAGTGTTTCAGAGTTTAGGCGTTCGCAAGTCAGACCGAAATTCTTGGGTTCAATTCCTGCAAGCGGAAGGCATGGATGAACACTGCTGATGTGTCTCATACCAGAACGAAACGGCTATCCAGTGATTCCAGGTTTCTAATGATGCTCTAAAAATGATTTATTCATAATTTCAACCAAACTCAACAATCTTCTCAACGCTACATTGACAAAGTAAATAAATTGAATAGCTAATTCTTTTATAAATCCGTTAATTCGTGATCTACGAAACTATTTAACAAATTCACGTATTAAAAGAATAATTAGGAAACAAAACTAAAGTCTTGAATAACTTATGACATAAAACAAAACATAAGAATTGTACTACAACATAAGTAAATGAATTTTTAATGCCTTTTTTTATAGGGAAAAAACAGAGAATTTGTAAAACGTTTGTCAGTATGTATGCTTGAAACTATTACAGGTTCACCTTAGTCGATAAAAAACGAGAACGAGACAATGAACTAGCTTCCAGGTAGGCTACTCTGATCCATTGACTAAAAAGACTAACCAAGAAGTCTTGATATAGCGTAGAAAGTATATTCTCCAAACACCCAGACAGCACACAATCAATCCAGGCACACACATCATAGAGACATCCTTGAGAGAGTCACAAAAATAGCATACTAATGACATTCACAGCACCCAATCACAGCCAAGGATTTTCCTGGTGGGAAAGGACATCTCAAGGTCAACTGATCAGCACCTGCTCGGAAACATAAAACCCAAAATCAAGGCATTTATCGAGCGAGTTATGGGGATCTAACATACCCAACAGGATTACAACAGTTATAACTTAAATACTAAAAGAATGAAGTCAACATTTATTCTCGGAGTAGTGTGTATGCTTAGAATAATCGACTCATTCTTGTTTTGCAATACAAACCACATTTAGTTCTACATGTTCAAATCAATGTACTGGTAATCATGTGCTTTGAATTTCACGCTTAAAAAATGTGGAAAATTGACTCTAATTCATTTTTTGCGCAAAAATAAAACTTTTATTTCCACAAAAAAAATTTATATTTGTTTTACTGAATAATAAATAATGAATGATCAAAGTCGATTTGTACAGGAAAATCATGTTCATTGGTTAAAAAATCATTGAAATGTGATTTATTTTTTTTCTAAAAGAAAAAAAACTACTTGTTCTTAATTATTTCTATTGTTTTAAGGTCAATGTCATTTTCAGTCCATTGGATTCAATGGTCAATTTGTTTTCCCGCATTCTTCCATTGAACAAAAAACCCAATGTGGATCGATAAATGCAATGGGTCAAACAGAAATCGATTTAGCATTGAAAAAAATCTCCATTAGGTTCTGATTGTGAAGCGTTTTTTAGTAAGTGTATTTTTCAGTTGAAAAAAACAGATAAATATCTTTAGGGGGAATCCTATTTACTATTAAATGTTGGTTATTTGCGATACGGGGTTGTGAAGATTGTTAAGTTACACATTTATGAAAGCATGAACCTATCAATGTTAGACCACCATTAGGAACCTGGTAGCACCGGACGGCAGTCTCGTCCTGGTATGGGACTCCTCAGCAGTGCGCATCCACGACTCCTGCACCCCGCAGGATTCGAGCCCAGGACCTTCGGGATTGTGCACGAACGCCCTAACCGTTAGACCACCGAGCCGGGTTCTAATGGTGTTAATCTCTAACTTGATCAAATTCACGGAGTTGCGCAACCTCATACACAGTCTTCGGTAGACACTGCCTACACCCGAACAGGTTGAACTTCACTGGTCACATCTTCCCACTAGAACTCGGAGAAGATTCCTCACGAAGCTAGTCACTATTGGGTACAGGTAATTTGCATTACGGGGTTGTGAAGATTGTTAACATTGATCGATTCATGGTTTCAAAAATATGTAAATGTAGATTAGTTATCTACTTATCAGCGACTACCTTAGGAATTATTTATGAATAATTTTATTATAAAATAATAACTGATCGATGAATCTATCCATCTATTGATTTAAAACTTTCTATGTTTAGAGATTCACTATTGAACAACGCTTTGTTTAAATCTGTGCACTGCATCGTTGGGAAGATCAACTATCAGTGTGCACTATTACTGCTGTATTTCTGAGTCGAAAAAGCAACGTTACAACTGAACAAATAAAATATCATATACAAATCTAGAAGTAAAAAGGTAGGAAGTAACTACCAAAGATGATGGGTGAGGTCACGCAAAATTTTTAGTTTACGATCAAAGTTAGACATTAACACCGTTAGATCCAGTGGTCCAAAGGTTAAGCGTTCGCACACAATACCGGATCTCATTGGTTCGAATCCTGTGAGTTGCAGGAGTTCTTGGTGCGAACCACTGATGAGCTATTGTGAGGTGTAGAAAGGATTTGATTGTGACCAATTCGGTCTCGTGTGTTTTTATGGGTATGAGAGCGGATGTTACTTCCCGGATGCCCACACCGAGGAATAGTTTTTCTTGAGGCACCGGAAAGAGAATGTAGATTAGCGTTTTTCTTTATAAGAGACCTGGGAGCGTGACCGCATAGCCCAATACACAGATGCTTGAGTACGGCCACGCATGGCCTTTTTATGAAAGGTTTTTTGAGTATTGTTAGCTCCGCTCTTCAAAGCCATTAGTGGGCAGCCCTTACCGCCGGAGATGGAAATCCGTCAGATAGGGTGAGATGTGACACTTTTAGAGTCGACCTTTTCTAACCCTTTCTTTCTTGTGAAAAGGCAACATCACTGCAGATGCTGGTTGTCCAAGGGAAACACCTTACTGTTGTCAAACCTCTCTACAGTCAGCAGTACGACTTCGCCCTCAGACATTGAGTAGCTGCTTTTAGTCTGATCGTTCTCCAATTGACCTGTCTGGTATGGTAGAACCTTCAGAAACATATGTTCCAGCCAATATAGCTCGGTTGAGTGATCACGATAGGCAAGCCCGACCACCACGTCAAGGTCGCAGCTACGGTCGGGCTAGAGGGCGGCCAGATCAAAACATGTCAGAAATCCATGAAGTCACTGACAATTGTGCTGAGTCATGTCGGTGGGCGTCGACTTCCTGGTTGAGTTCCACGAGATGATAATAATCGATGGTTAGAGACCCTGAATGACATGGCTCAAAACCGTTTGCAATTGTGCAGGTGTATTTACTCTTTGTGTTCTATGAAATTCTAACTTTCTGAATTCCTTATCACCTCTAACTTTCTCTTTCTAAATTTACCTCACTGAATTATACATCTTGAACAATATCTTAGAACCCTAATCTTCTCAATTACCAGTAATTCCTCAACTATCTCTACCTCTATGAGATTTGAGCTGAGAATTACATCTCTGTGCTAATGCCGTATGGCAACTTGAACTGATGTACTTACGTACGAATATCTACGTTGTAACTAACAAACTAACTAACTAACTAACTAACCAACTAACTAACTAACCACTGATGAGTCCCATACCAGGACTTAACGGCCGTCCAGTGGCTCCTAGGTCTTTAATGGTGCTCAAATAATAATCCACTCATGATATCAATGTGTTAAACGAAATAATGGCAAGAAACTTGATGAATTACGCAAACATTTTGTAATTCTTGCAAATTTTTATTGAATTTTATTTTACAATACAATTCACACATTTTGCATTTATTGATAAATTTATGTTGATATCAATTTTAAATTAACTTCTCTGACCGATTGTGTTTCAAATTATTTTTTTTTAAATTCTGTTTCTTTTTTTTGTCTTCAGACTGGCGGAAAGTTTGAAAATAAAAAGAGTCGAAAACATTGTATGAAAATGAAAAAAAAAAAAACAAGAAGAAAGTAAGTAAGTAGCTTACATTGATACCAATGATTCAAGAGATTAATGCAATGGATGGATGTGTACGTGAATAGTTGATGAAGAACGGCGTTAAGACCAAAAAAAATGTTATATAATCAAGAACTACACTACCAAACTATCAATTCATTCATACAGATGAAAACCATCAATATGGGCGAATAATTATTTTCACGAATTCAAAAAATGTCAATGAGGAATATTTTTTCATGTTGTTCAAAGTGCTCATCACATTGCTTGAAGTAATACAATTATATATATATAGTCAGAAAGATAATTACAGAATATTGTATTTAGTACAACAAGTATGTATATGTATATATATATAGATTGTTCGATAGATAGATAGATAGATAGTTAGAAGTACTGTTAATCTCTTTTTTTTTGGTCAGAGATACCTTTTGAAGTGGAATACTCAAAAACCATAAATTAATCTGAAGTGTTATTTTAGATTAAATTAAATAATAAATGAATTTAGAAATTTTTCTGTGCATTCATTTCTGCATCTCAATTAACGTGCACAAAATTCAGCAGAAAAAAATTGACAAACAAAAAAACGAACCGCAAATGGTCAATTTTAAATTGAACCGCGTTCTAAAGCGGTCAACCAACCAATCATAAATTAACTTTTGTTCAATGATCAATAGATATGTATGTTTTTTTCTATTTACTGTACACACACGGATATTTAAATATATTTATATTTATATATATATATATAAAGATTATTTGATGCTGATGATTTCTACACTAAACTTTGTTCATGTTTACGTGTTTTAAAATGTTTTCGAAAAAATTTCACCACATTACTCGCTGGTGTTTTTAATGCCGTAATGGAATTCTTATGTTTCGGTGAATTATTCGATCCTTTACGTTGTGATGTAGTCATTACCATACGATCAAGTCGTGCACGTTCACGTTGAACAGTTTTTTGTTGTTCTTTGATAGCGATCAATATACCAACGAGTAAATCATCAACACGATGATTAATGGATGTAGAAATTTCATAAAAACTACATGAATAAATTTGTGCTAGATTTTTTCCATCTAGTTTAATAGAAAAAATAAAAGAAAAGAAAAACAAACATATTTTTGATATGATTATGAATGAATTGAGAAAAAGTTGATAACATTGACAATTAAGAGAAAACATATTTAAGGCAATCAGTCCTTTTTTATAAATTTCGATAGAACAGTGAGAAGACGTAGAGTTGATTTGAAAAATGTAATGTATATGCGCTATACATTTCGAACAATCTGGTCACACGTATTCACTTGTCAAGGCATTTTATGTGAAGATTAATAAAAGGTTTATTAACTGAAAGTTCAAATAGACTTAAGGTGATAAGTGGAAAATGAAGGAGAGACAAAATTAACGTAATATAGAAAGAATAAGAAAGGATAGGATACTGTCACATTTCCTTAGTCCTTAAAATGACTTAAAGATTACTAGGGTAAATGCAAGGTTATAACAAATTGTTTCTGTACACATAAGGGGAGTTTAAACTTACGAATAGCCAAGGCCTCTATCAACCTCAAAATTCGTCTATCAACGTTTCTATACAATATTTTGAAGACTGTCTTGATGTCAGTCTTATGCCCTGTCTCAATTATGTGTGTTCTGCGAACCATGAACATGGTTTTCTATTTTGAAAGCTAATCGGCTCATCTGACATTAACTGATTTTAAAGCCACTTAGGTACATGTTCCATAACCCTTGATTGCAAAGTCCGATTACTCCTCCTTATGTATGTGTGTCCACACAAACATGTAAATTAATAAATGCAGTGGCATGTGACGTGATCATTCGAGCAACGTTTAGGCCTGTGTGAAACCATGGGCTTAGTCTTTTCAATTAAAATTAGTTTAGCAGTGTAGTAACTTTTCTCTATGGCTGCTTTTAGTCACCGTCTTAAGATTAGGCCATTTGATTCACCTCTAAATGGTAGTGATATAAACCTTTTTCTTCTCAGCAGAATGAAAAACTGGCTTTTGTCTTAACTGATCTCTACACCTATTGATGAACTTTAGCGGATAGCCATTTGAAATCAATGCTTCAGTTAAGAATTTTGCATCGTCGTCAAATGTATCCATGGTGCAAATCCTTTAAGCCCTATTGAAGAGTCATTTTATATATTGCAGTGGACAAAAACTGTTGAAATTTAGATACTGTCCAGTCCACGTTGGTTTTCTATAAACAGAACGCTTTATAGTTCCCATTCCCCCTTCGACTCAACAGTATGTCTAAAAAAGGCAATCGATTATTATTTTCTGGTTCATGTCTATTTGAACTTTTATTTAATTGACCTTTTATTCATCTTCATATAAAACATATTACCTAGAATCCTAATGATAATGAATAGTTGTTTTTTCATAATGTGATGATATGGTTCTAGTATTGTTCATTGTCAACTTGTATGGAACACACAATATAACACGGCTTTGTTGAAACAAACGTTCAAAGTTCTCAGTGATTTGTTGTAGCGGAATGTAAGCTAGCGTCAAACCAGTACAATATGCAACATATCCTAACTGATAAAATCTACTTTAATAATCATCAAGTTTTATATGATGATGCAAAGCAAGTACTATGATGAAAAGAAAACTGTTGTTTGCTGAGTGGGGGATACATGTTGTCTGCGTAAAATACTTTGAATCCGCTGGACAGACAACATCAACAACCACCTAATGTGGAAGAGAACAAACCAAATTGCAGCTAAGGAAGAAATCGGCAAAAAGCGTTGGACGTGGATAGGACACATATTGAAGAAATCACTCATTCAATTGGAATCTTCAAGGCCAACGGGAAAGAGGAAGACCGAAGGACACATTACGCTGAGACATGAAGACAGACATGAGAAGAATGAACAGCACTTGAACAAAAGTAGATAGGAAGGCCTAGGATAGAGTATGTTAGAGAATGCTGATCAGTGGATCATACTTCACAAGGGGGAACATGGCATAAATAAGCAAGCAGCAATGAATACACAATCCCTGAGATAAACTACTATAACTTTCACTATTGAACATATATAACCTATTGAAGGATTTAACAAGCAAGCATTAAAAACTCAAAATAGTTATAAAAACTTCAGTTTAGGTAGAGTGTTTACTTAATTTTTTTTATGGAAGTTTTCAGACAGTTCAAAGAATCAAATTTTATCCTAACAGAAAACAAAATGAATGAGTATGTAAATAAAATCACAAGTTTGAACGAATGAGTGTTTTTTTTACAGTCTGGAAATTTTTAACTGTAAATTCCTACTGGTAACCTTTGAAAATATTTGGCTACTTGTTTCTGAATTGAAAAAAAGTATTTTTAAAAAGTTATCCTTATTTGTTTGTTTTAACATGTCTATTTTGACGGTTAGCCGCATAATCTATTCAGGCGCGTATTCAAAACATTCACGAGCTATCGCTACACATCTTGATGTGGTGGCGATCTATTGAGAAAAGAATGAATGTCAATAAGATTTCACTAGCTGACATGCTTTCTTCCAACTACCAATCAGTAGATGAACTATTCTATACTGAGAATTCCAAATTGTACTAAATCTGTAGTATCCATATTTTACAGCTTATCAATTCACACATCAGATGATAATTGAACTATTTGCTAAATTTAATTAGATTAAAAGATATTGATGAATGAATATCATTGCAGTGACATTTTAAATGAAAATATTGCTTGTTATTGATGAATATTGATGAGAATGTTTCTTCAACTAGGAAGTTAACAGATGTCTATTGTATATTGAACATCGATAAATATTTCTGGAATTGTTGTGTTCTGTCAGCTGAATGATTGGTTTGTCACTTCGAAGAAAATTTGTAGTATCTATTTCAGACGGAAGTGACCACCTTGATTATTTCATAAGTCAGTCTATTTCTCCAGCAAACATTTCATGACAGACTATTTCCGTATAACTCCGCCTGTAGAACCTTCGGGGCTACTCCTGGTCCCAAGCTCGGATAAAGGGGAAGGGTTGGAGAAAACTGGTCGGCAGCCTATGCTCCATTGGGGGTAACAGGCGTAAGTAAGTAAGTAAGCAAGTATTTCAGTAGATTTTGTGATCTTAATAAACTGTTTTATTTTTGGTTTGTTAGAATAAACTTTGACTTTGCAAACGTTAGATTTAATCAAACGAAGTGAAAAATCAAACAGAATACACTCACATAGAATAAGAAAGATTGATTGAGTGAAGAGGCGATAATGATCTAATACGCAGCTTTATAATCGAACATCATTTTGTCAACGGATTATTCTATTGAAAAAAAAACAACTCTGCGTTTTAAGTCTTCTACAAAGCAAGTAGAAAGCTACCATAGGCAGTTATCAGCTTCCGTCTTTTACCATACATTTGGATAAACCAATATGATATGTATCCAAGAGTAACATGTACAACACATTTTTCCCTACCATGATCTTAATCTCCGATAATGTTATTCCCCATTTCCTCTTTCCCATTTATCTTCTTCTTCTATATGAACCGTTTATTCTCAAACTGATTTGTTGGTGTTTCTATGATATTCCTGACTACAGTTCATCATTTCCGTGTCAGCGTTTTCTCTTTCCACCTTCATCTATCTTCACACTGAATTTTTCAAGTCTCAACACTAACAACAACATCAATATTATTATTAGTCTTTTCAATTCCTGTTATAAAATAACATTTTTATGCCTTTATTTATTCTACCTCACTGTTATATTTTTTTTTCTTTAGCAAATAAAACATTTATTATCATTACTATGATTGTGATGAATATCATATTTTTTCAATTGGGATTTATGGAGATTAGTGTTTTTACAAAAGTGAAATCATCAATCAATCATTGTCGTATGTCGGCTCAGTGGTCCAGACAGAGGTTAGGCGTTCGCGCGCAAGACCGAACGACCTGGGTTCGAATCCTGCGAGGTACAGGAGTCGGGGATGCGCACTGTTGATGAGTTCCATACCAGGACGAAAAGGTTGTCCACTGCTTCCAGGATTCTAATGGTGGACTAACAATGATTGATTGATGATTTCAACGTGTAATATCATTTCGCCAAAAATAAGTTTGTATTTGTGATTATATACTAATTGTGAACATAAAGTTCTTTGAAAAAAGAACAATTCTTCCCTGAATTATTGTTACTTGTTTGACGCGAAATGATTATTACAAATTACAGAACAGGGATTGCTTTCTTATATTCCACAGACACTTAGGCAATGACACTAACTGTTTACCTCATTTGAACACAGAGAGTAACAAAAGACCAATTTTGACTAAACAACTCAAATCAGTTAAGAGACTCATAGGTATATGCAACAAAGTAGTGAAAAACACAAACATTAGGATCACTGATTTAATTCTTAGGAAAAATTTCAAAAGTACACCGCTAGTTCCGTACTAGGATCAAACAGACGTCCATCGTTGTTTTGCTTCCGAGTGTCAGCAGAGTCCAGTGCACTCTCAAAATGCTCTCACATAGACACGCATGTATAGCCACTGTCACAGCAGTCCTATTCACTGCCTTTCTGTGACACAAAAAAAATACTGTTTAAGACTTTGAAGGGATGAAAAGCGAATATTTGACCGAGGTTTAAATCGGCTTAGTGGATACAGAGGATCCATGTAGAAGAGTTTGAAATCCAACATATCAAAACCTGTGAAACACCTTGTCTCCTGGAAATACATTTGTTGTTGGTGACCAGCTACCACAAGAGTTCATTTCCTTACGGCGCTTCATTACCTTGTCGTTTAGACTTTTAGGTGAAAGGCTGATTGACTGGTGGTCACCTCAGAAAACCAACTACATTGCTTTAAGCATCCAATGTGATATTTAATTCAGCTCATGCATAAGTCAAATCATCAGTGTAAAGTACAAATACTTAGTCTCTGCATTATACAATTATTAATGTGTATCAATTTCGTGCTGAACATTATTATTATTCCCTTGAATCAACAAAATCCTAATCAAATTTTCAACAAACGCATCATTCATCGTCATTGATTAATTTCAATGTCGATCACATGACCAATCAACTGAATTCATTGATAGAATAGTAAAAATAATAATAATAATAATAATAATAATAATAATAATAGTAATAGAGAAGGTAATTTAAGGAAGAAAGAGGGCAAAGTAAACTCTAAATAAATAACCAACTAAAATAATAATCATGAACTATTTCTCTCTCTCTCTCTATCTATCTGTCTCTTCTTCATTTGTAGATATTTTTTGGTCGTTTGCTCCCTAAGAATAAAGCAGATGCATAGAGAAGGAGAGAGAGAGAGAGAGGGATGAAGAGAGAGATGAAGGAAGAGAGATGAAGAAATCGAATAGAAATTGAGATGAATAATTAATTAACATAAGAAATAATTTAATTACTTCAGTTTATTTATTGACTATGCACAAGTCATCACATCGACTTATATATATTGATGGGTAGCGAGAATGTAACTGCGTACTTGTGTTTGCATGTGTCTTGTGTTGTTTATTTGTGATTCGTGTTGTTGTTTGATAAGGAAAAAAAAATAAAGATTGAGAACAGTAAAGAACTTTCATCAAGATGATGATGATGTTCAGTGGAATTATTCATGAAAAAAAATAATAAAATTTGATTTGATTTTTGCCATTTCAAACTTACAAGTCTGAAACTGATAAGGTTCGAGTGGAGTTTTTTGCAATAGGCATGAGATATATTCAAGTATGAAGGATGCATGACAGTTGTTAGATAGTGAAATTGACAGTAATTTACTTATCGACTATTAAAAGTTGATGATCAGATGTATGATTTTCTCAAGTAATTGAAAAGGTTAGTGTGGTTATGTGAAACGAATAGCCCGATGGGATAAAGTATTCCTCAGTCCTTCGATATCAGTGGAGGAAGAAGTCAGGAAGAAGCGCCAGAAGTGAATAGGACACACATTGAAAATAGGAACCCAACTGCGTCACAAGGCAAACCCTCACTTGAAATCCTTAATGTCAAGGAAAAAGAGGATGGCCAAGGAACACATTATGCCGAGAAACAGAGCCAGATATGAGAAGAAAGAACAACTACTGGATAGAACTAGAAAGGAAGGCAAGGGACAGAGTAGGTTGGATAATGCTTAGATCCTCAAGGTCAATGGAAAGGGGGAGGTCATGGAACACATTACGCCGAGAAATGGAGACAGATATGAGATGAATGAATAACAGTTGAACAGAACTATGGAGAAAGGTCCTGGACAGAGAAGGTTAGAAAATGGAGGTCAGATATTTCTTAATAATGCTATCAGAAGACGACAGTTATACAAATTATGTGATGTTTATTTGACCAATACCTTTCTAACAATCTGTTTACACACACACTTATTAGGACATTATGTATGAAAGGCATGAAATGTCAATCAGACAAATAAGAAGGTTATGTAAACAATAACAATAAATTACACAATGTGAAAATAACTCTAGAAACCTATCCCAAATGATCTTTGCGGTGGTGCTGTGATTTCCAACGTCTTTTATGTATGGTAGAATGATCCATTTGTTGGTTCCTGCATGTGAGTTCGATTCGGTTGATGATTTCTTGACGACATTATTTGATGAGGTTGCGTTTCAATTTTCATATAAACAAGGCTTCTATGAACTTTAGTATTCTTTACTATAACACTACAAAAGCTGACTTGATACCACCCTTATGGCTTATCGAATATTTCGTAATGGAGGATGATATTTATCTATCCTATAATCTCATTTTACTATTTGGAATTCATTTGCTTTTTTAAACCCTTTAGGTATGTTAGAACACCATTAGAAATTTGGAAGCACTGCATGGCCGTTTTGTTCTGGTATGGGACACACCAACAATGCATATCCACGACCCCAGCTCACACTTAACCACTATACCATAGAGTCGGCTGTTCAGTGCTTCCATGTTTGTAATAGTGGTCTTACTTACTTACTTACTTACTTACTTACGGCTGTTACCCCCAATCGAGCATAGGCCGCCCACCAGTTTTCTCCACTACCTACTCTGTCCTGAGCTTCCCTCTCCAGTTCTGTACAATTTTTGTGCATTCTTCACATATCTATCGGCATTTTTCGGCGTAATGTGTTCCTTGGCCTTTTTCTTTTCTGTTGACTTTGAGGGTTCCAAGTGAGGGCTTGTATTGTGATGTAGTTCGGTGCTTTCTGCAGTATGTATCCTATACACATCCACCGTCTCTTCCTGATTTCCTCCTCCGCTTCAATCTGATTTATCTTCTCCCATGTTGTTGCTGATCGTGTCTGACCAACGAATCCGAAGTATTTCGCATAGACAGCTTTTAATAAACACTTGTATCTTCTGAATGATGGCTTTCGTATTTCTCCATGTTTCCGCTCCATACAGTAGAACTGTCTCGACATTTGTATTGAAAATCCTTATTTTGGTGTTGATTGATATCTGTTTGGAGTTCCAGATATTTTTCAACTGTAGAAATGCAGCCCTTGTTTTGCCGATCCGCGACCTCACATCTTCATCGGATCCACCTTGATTGTCGATGATGCTGTCCAGATATGTAAAGGTGTTAACGTCCTCCAAGGCATCTCGATCAAGAGTGATTTGGTTGGTGCATGTTATGTTGCATCGGAGAATCTTACTTTTTTCCTTTGTGTATGTTGAGACCTACTGCTGCAGAGACTGCTGCTATACTGGTTGTCTTCTCTTGTATTTGTTGTGTAATAGTGGTCTAACATTGATATATCCATGATTTCAAAAAGTAACTCAGCAATCTCTATAACCCTATAATGAAAATCTGAATAAGTATTTCATTACCTTTTCCTTTAGAGATTATGAAAGCTCATTCTCTATGTTAGGTGACTTATTCAACAGAATGAGACGCGATCATTCATATCCTGTTTAAGTTTTTAAGTGAAATATACACTTTGACTTGTTAAATAATGCTGAACTAGACTAAGTTCAATGTTTTTTGAGACCAATAATTTAACAAACTATTTCAATCAAATCAATTCAGAAAAAAAAACAAACAAATTATTATTATTATTATTATTAACATTACCTTCACTTGATACAACACGTGTTCTTACTAAGTCAGATTTATTCGCTGCCAGTATAATAGCACTGGAACGTTTACATTGACTTAATAATAAGCCAATAATTTTTCTTGCTGCATAAAATGAACTACGATCATCCACAGCGTAGATAACCAGATAAGCATCGGCTGTATCAATAATCTGTTATTGTGAACACATATAGAGAGAGAAGAAGTAGAGAAAACAGTGCAATCAACTGTTTGTTTGATATAAGAAAAATGAAATAAATCATAATGATATGAGAAACGAAAAAAATTGATATGGTGTTAGTTAGAACTGAGCTGTAAACAAAATTAAATATACCTTCCATGGAAGAAGATTAAGCGTCTGCGTACGAGATCATGGTTCTATGTTCGATTCTCATGAGATGGAGTCGTGGATGCACACTGCTGAAGAGTCCCATCCTAGAATGAAACAGTCTTTCAGAGCTTCTAAGTTTTTCATGATAGTCTAGCATTGATTGATTCATGATTTCATGATGGTGTTTCGTTCACTGAGCTGAAAGTTTTCGTTGTGGAGCTTTCATTGTTCTTCTCCTGAAGACCACATCATCATCATCAGTACAAACTTCAGATAGAAGTGAAGTATTTGAAGCTAATGGTAGCTAATGATGGGATATAGAATGTATGTTAATTTCTGTTTCAAACTGATTAACCTGTATTTCTAAACATTCAGGCTAGTCTTTAGGTACATTCAGTTGATAAGCCTCAAATAGGATGAAATGTGAATCCCTAATTCCGCTAGCAGCTGCTCTTCATCTTTGCTTAAAATGTTTATAGAGTAATGGTACTGTCGAAGCTGTTCACAATGGATACACCTCTGTATTAAAAGCAACAACAGATCTGTTGTAGTGCCTAACACCAAAAACACTCAAACTCAAATTGATTACACAGACAGAAAGGAAGATCATAAAAGACTGCCTAACATCTATCAATGAAATACAACAGAAAACCGATGATGATGATGATGACGATAGTGAGGTCACACAACATCATGGCTTGATAGATCGGGGCTAAATGTTTGATTGGTTGACCCTTTTTACATATGACCAAAGGTGCTATGTTTGTTTCTTGCGTGCTCAGTCCTAGAAGTGCATATTAGAACTAGACAATCATTCAATGCTTCCAGATTTCAATTGACAGCCCAACATTAATGAACGGATAGTTTGAATATGAGCCACATTCTAGATCAATAACTGTAATCTAGGATTATCGATTCGGTGATTTAATTCACAGTATTGTTTGAAAAAAAATGAAAATTTACAATTTAATCATTTCATTTTATCAACTACCATCTGCTTTTATTATTGATAGAAAAAAAAGGTTTTTTTGTCAAAATGAATAAATTCAATTCACTTGACTCATCTATTGGGTTTGGTTGTGTTTTTGTTCGAATTTTGACAAAATTGAACAATGAATGAAATGGTAGTTTATAAACAAAGAGAGAAAGAGAATTTCACGAACTGAAACATTGTCTGTTTGTTTATAGTTATGTTGGAAGTTAATAGTCGGATGTTCAGCTTTTTTGAATTGATCAGTGTAAGACCGCGATTAGAAACCGAGAAGCCCAGGAAGTGCTGACTAGTGACTTACTAGCTCCGTGAGGAAGTTTCTTCGAGTTCTAGAGAGAAGTTGTGACTAATGGAGTTCAACCTTGTTTGCGTGTGAAACAGTGGATCAGACTGCACTAAAACCATGGATTAACCGTTAGATACTGGCTCAGTGATCCGGAGGTTAGGCGTCCATGCGTAAGTCCTAAAGTCTTGGATTCAAATCCTGTGTGTAGCGGCAGTCATGGATGCATACTGCTGATCAGTCCCATACGATGAGGAAACGGCTGTCTAGTGCTTCCCGCTTTCTTATGGTAGACTAAAATTGATGGATTCATGATTTCAAAAAGTACCTGAACAATCTTCACAACCTCAGAATGTGAGTATATTACATAAATTTAAGCCGAGTAAATACAGCTGAACATCATGTTCATCAGTTTCTTATTATTACGAAAGAGTTCAACATCCTTGGGTTTCATATATTAACAAAATCATGGATATATACTGCTGACAAGTCAAAAGGGGAAAAAATATAACCGGATTCCTACATAAATTAATTTTTAAAAAAGAAAGTAAGTATCTTAACAAATAAATTTTTTATTTATTCAAATAGGATTCAAAATATTCTGAATCTTTCTAAATGTTTATATATGAAATAATATCCAAATATTGTAAGCGCTGATTTAAAAGATGAGTATTTTCTTCATTATGGGGTTGTGGAGATTGTTGAGTTACTTTTTGAAATCGATCAACCTTAGACTACCAATAGAAACATGGAGGCACATGATTGTCATCTCGTCCTGCTATGAGAATCATTAGCAGCGAGCATCCACGACTCCTACACGACGCATGACTCGAACCCGGGACCTTCGGTATTGTGCGCAAACACCTAACCATGCTGGCCACTAGGCCAGCATCCAATGGTGTTAATGTCTAACTGTGATTGATCTAGGGATTTTACGCGACCCATTTATCTTTGGTAGTTACTGGGTTGAACTCCATTGGTCACGTCTTCTCAACTAGAACTCCGAGAATTTCCTCACGAAGCTAGTCAATAGTGAGCACATAATCTAATCACGATTAACTACTACCTAATTGACTGACTGACTGACTGGGTGGTATATAATTTGTTTTAACATACAGAAAAAAATGACAACTTTAAATTTATTTTGTTTTAAAAATTAAAGATAGAATGTTAAACAAACTAAAAAGTTTACAATGAAACATGTTATTCTCTAATGTTAAGTTATTAGTCATGGTCTTGCTTTGTTTGTTTTCTTTCTATTTGCAATAACTGCTTTTTTTTTAAAAAATTGGACATTGAACAAAATATCATCGCATTAAAACAAATCTAAAAATCCTGCTGCTATTCTTTATCAAAATTGAATTGTTTGAATACATTACAAAGGAAGTTTGTTGTAATTTTAGCGTGACTTAGGGAGAAAAAGAGGAACAACAACTTTTTATTTCTGGTTGTATGTATGTATGTATGTGTGTGTGTTTGTCGTTTGTTTGAAATTATTCCGTTGAAATTCAATAGTTTTTTTATTTCATTTGAAACATTATGATCAATTTTCAATGTTACATGAAAATTATTTATTATTATAAATAGAAATATTTGTTTTATTGTCTCTCGAGTTACATGAACTTTAATGGTTATAAAGTTTCATCAACTGAACATTGAATTTGTTTTCTCAAAGCTTTTAACTAATGATTTCAATATAATTATTATTAATTATAGGGTAGAAGTTTTGCGAAAAGATTTCATCAAAGGATAAATTAATAGTTTACTCTTTTTAATTCAATTTTTGAATCATTGTTGATCTGAAGTCAATCTCATGATGATAAACTTCTATCTTACTAATGTTAATGATCAACATGTGATCAAAAGTTTTAAGAGAGAACTATATTCAGTTTCATGACAAAGTATATTCGTCGAAATCATGAATCAATCAATGTTAGACCATCATGTGAAACTTAGAAGCTCTGGTAGACTGTTTTATTCTAGTTTGGGACTCTTCAGCAGCGCACCTCCCAGGACTCGAACCCAGCACCTTAGGTAATGTTATTGGCCAATAATATTATTTTCGGGCAGAATTTTGGAGGTTTGTGTTTTTACACATTTGAAATCATCAATCAATCATTGTTAGACCACCATTAGAAGAAACCTGGAAGCACTGGAGGAATGTTTCGTCCTAGTATGGAACTCATCAGCCGTGGGCATCCATGACTCCTGCACCTCGCAGAACTCGAACCCCAGACCTTCGGTATTGTGCTCGAACGCCCAACCATCGGACAACTGGGCCGGCATCCAATGGTGGTGGTCTAACAATGATTGATTTCAAATGTGTAAAAACACAAACCTACAAAACTCTGCCTGAAAATATCGTAACACTGCTCACTAGTGACTAGCTTCGTGAGGAGATTCTCGGAGTTCTAGTTGAGAAGACGTTACCAATGGATTTCAAACCTGTCGGGTGTAGGCAGTAACTACCAAAGACAAATGGGTGAGATCGCGCAAAGTCAGTAGGTCAATCAGAGTTAGACATTAACATCGTTAGATGCCAGCCCAGTGGTCCGATGGTTAGGCGTTCGCGGACAATACCGAAGGTCCCGTGTTCGAGTTCTGCGAGGTGCAGGAGTCGTGGATGCGTACTGCTGATGAGTCCCATACCAGGACGAAATGGTCGTCCAGTGCTTCCAGGTTTCTTATAATGGTGGCCTTACAATGATTGATTGATGATTTCAGTAATATTATGTTCAACAAAGTTTCTAAGTTAATTCTTTGAAAGACTAATTCCATCTTTCAAGTGAATTAACACTGATCATTGAAAAACTTATCGTTTTTTATTGACGAATAACCACTTCGGTTTTCTCTGTTTTTTACTACTCAATACTGAAATTCAATACTTTTTAATTTCAGGGTTATGAACATTATTGAGTCTTATTAAAATCATAAGACGATCAATGTTAGACCATTATTAGAGACCAGAAAATACTGGACCACCGTGTTTTGTCTTAGTATGGGACTTATCAGCAGTGCACATCTTTGATGCCGTACAAAGGAATCGGAATCAAGACCTGCTATTCCACGCGGATGTTTAACCTCTTGAAGGAGTACAGTTCAACCATGTTTTGTGTAGGCAGTTACCTGTTGAAGATGATGGATGGGCTTGCGTAATACTTTGGATTCAATAAAGTTAGACAATAACACTGTGGGATCTCGACTCAGTGTTCTAGAAGTTAGGCGTTCGCAAACGAGAGCGGAGGTCCGGGATCCGAAATTCCAGCTATCAGGGATTGTGGATGCCTACTGCTAATGAGTCCTATACCAGGACTTGATGGCCATCCATTATTATACAAAGTAATGTACGCTTTAAGAAAATAAACGTGTTCAATCCTACTTAATCAAAGATGATAATCTGTTTTCGTGATTGATCATAATAGATTTACAAATTTAAGCATAAAGATCATCAAATTATCAAAATCTTTTCAAAGTTTTTCATTTTTCTACCATCATTTTTTCTAACTAAATAGTTAAGCGATTCTACAACATACTGGAATATTAATTGATTTAGTGTAGAAATTCGATCACTCTTGGTTCGTTTATGGGTATTTTGTGTAGATTGCCTTGATACAGCCATTATGAAATTGCTTAATATAAATTAGATGGACAGAATGTAGCTCGCATCACTATACAGGATGCGCATTTTGTCCTATATGAAACTTCAGTTCAGATGTCAAACATATCAACTATGGGATATCGTAAACCATTTCATTGATCCCAATCTCATAACAGTTACACAAGTGATCGAACTATTTGAATTCAGTAGCTAGATGGATAACACGATGACGTTTGACGCAGGTTGTACAGGGTTCAATTCCTGAAACTGAACACCAACTCTGAGATGTATGTAACACCTAACTGACGTGTCTGGTACAGGACACAACGCACATCCTTGATTCCAATACTGGCCGTATGCTATAATGGACAGAAAATTATTTATCTTCTTGAATGATTCAACCAATCAGAAATTAGGTAACAATTCTAACTTTTACTTTTTGTAATATTCGTACTAATAAGACGTAACAGTTGACATGAATGTTTTTTCTAGTAAATTTCATACAAACATTTATAATAAATTGTTTTCAAAGTTTATGTAAGAATAAGTAGTATAAATCAGTAGTTATATGATACATACACGCATGCATATATATATACAACGAAATTATTTAACACCTACCACAGAATTCAATTCATCATCTGTATCTTCCATGTTTATATCAGTTTCCATAAATAAAAGACTTGCTTTTAAATTGTTAATTTCAACTCTTACCGGATTCAACTGTTCATCATCATGAACTAGAGATTGAAGAGAGAGATACAGGGAGAGAGGGAAAAAATAATTATTAAAACTAAGAAATAGTCTGTAAAAAGAAAAACAAATTGAACTATTGAACAGTGTAGTGAATACAAACGTTTTTATGTTAAAAAGATTGATGAATATTATTTAGTTTTTAACGGTTAACATCAAACAGTGATTAGCCATAGAAATGTGGGATACAGCGGAAAGTGACTGCATCTCGATAGGAGACTATTCCATAGTGAGCATTAACTGCCCTCACCAGATCCCAGAATCTATAATATTTTGCTTTTTCGTAATTATAATCAGTTCAGACCACTGTCGAATAAACTGATATCACCATTGGCGGCTAACTAGCAAACAGTTGAACTCGATTTAAAAGCTCCATTGGTTTCGGCTCTATGTATCACCTCACGAAATCAGTCACCAATGTTTATTTTCACCTGGGTTAAGGTTTGCCGAAATTGTTGAATAATGAAAGTTTACATCACAGTTTGATAGTGTAATTCAGGAATTCTTGAATGATGACATAACAGTCCAGTTTCTTCTGATAATTTAATGATTATTTAATCAAGAACCAGTTCGTGATGTGAACTATGAAACTGTGTAGATTATTACTGTAAAATATAAGAATATTTTTAACAATAAAAGTTTCTTAAAAATTAAAAATATTTATAAATTGAATAAATGAGATTGTTCGACGGTGTCCTAAGTCAAATACGTTAGAGATAAATCACGACAATTCCACTAGTACGTATCAGAATGCTTTAAATAAACCGCTTGCATTTGGCGCTTTACATCTGATTAAATGAATATTGAAAATAGTGTCATAAAATGACCGACATTCAATATCAAAGCTGAATGATCCATATGAAATGATACGAAATACGATCAACACTTACAACGATAAATAAAAGATATGTATTTGGTTGAGAAAAAAACATTGACATTCATATGATAAAAACATGTTTATAGATTTCAATATAAGTTTTTAAAGTATATATTCTATTCAGATATGAACAGGCACATTGAATTTTGAATCATTATTTCACAGTTCACAAATTTTCTTTCATTGTTCAACATGTACAATAAGATGTAATATTAGTTAGATTAAGATTGGACAATGAAAATTAACAACTTTCAACATTAAAAAAACACTCATAAGTAATCAGTGTGTTTGAAGGAAACAAATGTTGATAATATATTTAGAAATAATAAAGATTTAGTGAGATGCTCTGGCGAGCAATGTTTATTGATGTAGGATTGTGCTGGCAGAAAGTGAGACGCCTGTCAACGCCAATGAAGCATAGGCCGCCTACCAGGGTTCTCCAATCTTCTTCTCCGATTCTGTCCAATTTTTGCTCATTATTCTCATATCTTTCGCTATTTCTCAGCGTAATGTGTTCTTTGATCTTTCCCTTTTCCTTTTACCTTGAGAGTTCCAAGTAAGGGCTTATCTTGTCACTTAGTTGGAGACTTTCTGCAATGTGTATCCTGTCCACTTCCAGCGCTTCTCTCTGATTTCCCCTCCACCTGGAGTCCCACAGTAGATTGTTGCTGATGGTGTCCGGCCAACGAATCTGAAGTATTTTGCGTAAACAACTGTTAATGAATCCTTGAATCTTCTGGCTGATGGCTTTCGTAGTTCTCCAAGTTTCCGTCTTATACAGTAGCACTGTCTTGAGATTTGTTTGCAGTTGTTTTGAGTTCCAAATGTTCTTCGGTTTTAGAAAGACACGCTAACCAGAAAACTCAAAGCGATGGGCGGCCAAACTAAAACATGGCACAAATCCATGAAGTCACTGAAAACTAGACTGAGCCATGTTAGTAAGTGTAGACTACAATGTTTTGAGGACAGTGAGACAATAGATTAGAGATTTTGAATGACATGGCTCAAAATCGTTAGCAATGGCACACGTGCATCCATTCTTTGTGTTCTCTCAAATTCTAATCTCTTCTGAATTCCTTATGACAGTTCTCTATTAAATTTTTAAAAATTGATTCCTCTGAGATTTACTTCTCGAATAATATCTTCTAATACTAATCTTTTTGATGAATTCTAATACTCCTACAACCTCTACAACTATGGGATTTGAATTGAGAATTCGATCTCTGTGCACTGATGTGTTATGGCAACTTGAACCAATGTACATAGTTACAAAGTTCTACGTTATAGCTGACTGACCAATGAGATGAATAGTTAGTGAATTTCGAGACCTTTTTTATCAGTTTTTTCGACAGCAGTATCTAAACAAAAAAGTAATACAATTTAAGATTGAAATCACTTAACAAGTCATGATTCAATTGTCTGGATTTTTTTTTCAATGTGAACGGAATGAATTCACGGTTTGATAAACTTCTCAGTTTCGACTGAGATAACATCACAGTAAAATAAATCTAAAGACTCAATAAATCAGTGTAATAACTTTTCTACAATCAGTTAACTTTCAGACTTATCCATCTAATTCTATTTTATTTTACATTGTAAACGTGAATCAGTCATCGTTAGACAACAATTTGAAACCTGGAATCGCTGAACGGCGATTTCGTCCTGTTTTGGGACTCATCAGCAGTACACATTCACGACTACTGCTACTCGCAGGATTCGAACCTCGGACCTTCGGTCATGCGCGAATTCCTTAGATTCTTCAGATTTTAACATTAACATCGTTGGTTGCCGGCTCAGTGGTCCAAAGGTTAAATGTTCTAGGTCCAAAGCCTGTCAGTGGTAGGAGTTGTGGATGCACACTGTTAATGAATCCTATACTAGGACTTGACGGCCATTCAATGCTTCCAAGTTTTCAAATTGTAGTTTGACGATGACTAAATCCTAAATTCAATGTTCAATCACAATAGTCAAGGATAAAAAAAATAATTCATTTATATCAACGCAGTTTCTTTTTTTTTGATTTCTATTTTAAAATTTCCATTATTTCATGATTTTCTATATTTATATTTTTCGAAAAAAAATAAAAACAGAATTTTCTCTGATTAATTTTTTATTGCTTCATCATTTAATTTCGTTGCAATTTCTTGTTTAAACAAAATTAAAACAAAAAAATAGAGCAGGAGTTTAACTGCGCAACAAAAAAATGAGCTCGCACCCACACATACACACACAGGCTGTTTGTTGCCTTAATTTTGCGCCATATCCATCTTTCGTTATCATCCAAATAAACCATGCACACACACACATATGGAGATATGTGATAAATTCTTTTTGCCATACATAGTAGAAGAAATCTGTTCACTCATGATGATGATGATGAGACTTATGAGGCTGATGAGGCTGTTGTGAAAAACGGAGATCGAATCACACAGACACAACAACTGAAAAGATCAACCCAACAGTTAAGTCACACATTCTGGTTGTTTACTGTATTTTTTCAAGAAATAAAAATATATATGTATCTAAGCATAAACACGCATACATGATGTAGAAACGTGTCTGTTTATTGTTATAGATTCACTGTGACCATGCAAAGGAAAATTTTTAGCTTAATTAAAAGACATCTTTTAAAAATTTTCGTTTATGTTTTATGTGTGTAGTTGTTTTAAAACATTGATTGATTTACAGTGAACTGTTGTGGTTAAAATTTTTGGTATTCCACGTCGTTTTATTTGTTGAGTTACAACAGATTTATGTTGTTTTTTTATGGAGAAAAAAAAAATTATTTTAATTTCTGAAAATCTTGCAATGCTCTATCATCATTGATCACATGTAGAAAGAAATACATGAATTACATGGAAGATGCAAGTAAATTTTATTCTGCCTTACAATTCGATTGGTGTGAACAAAAACTTGTTCACATTTCAATGTTTACAATAAAACCAATTTCATCAATCAACTAACTAACTGTTCAATGAATTTTTGAAATGTTGAACAAAGTGCCAAAATTTTGTAAAAACAAATTATTTTTTTTTGTTTTAGCTAAAGAAGAATTATTGTACAATGTACAACACTTTGTGCACAAAACAAAAACCATTATGGTTGTTTTTTTAAATTAAAACAAATGCCAATTTTTTACTTTTAACGATCGGTTGATTTGATCGAACTCGAAATCATTTCTAGTTAGTTTATCAAAATTATTGAAATTTGTTCAATTGTTCAATTCAATTTTAACTTGACACTTGAAGGTTCATGTAATTTTTAGAAACTATGCGAAATGGCGCAATTTTTGAATGTTCAATTTCAAAAGTTTACAATGGTATACATTGATCTTTGAACTACGGTATGAATTTTTTTTTTAGATAAGACGACAATTATTAACGATAGAACGGTAAAACGTATCATATGCCGTACATTCTAAGACCAATTTATTTTTTTGACAGATATGATGATATATGTATACAATAAAAATTGTTTAGTAACGAGTAGGTTTATGTCATTCTCTCTCCATCACTATGATCTTATTAGGCCTTATCGATTTGTATTTATATGCTGCCAAATAGACCTACTTCGAGTAAGTGTGGATAGTTCGCTCTCTCTCTCACCAACGATCTGATTCGGATATGCAAATGTAGTCACTGTCAGGGTGGTACTACTCACTGACTTCTAATGGCACAGGTGTTGTTTATGAAATCGAGAGGGAGAAAAGTGAACATCTGTGCAGGGTCACAACAAGGTTGGTAGGTATGGAGGATTCATGTAAGGTAATTAGAGATCCCTGATTTCAAACTGATAGTACACATCAGATTCAGGATCCTGGCAGACATGAACACATTGTTTGTGACCGTCGTCCATGTGACATCACATCCTGAGAGTGCCACAGTGCATAGTGGATTGAACTTCTTAGTCAAAGACTAATAAACTGGTCCACTAAGAAAGTCACCTGCTTCGATGTAGTATCTGGACACCCTCAGAAAACCAATCATTTGTTGGATGCATAAATATTTAAGTGATAGTTTGTGTTAATATTTATGTACGTAAATAAAAAATTTACATGTCCACTTGCTCTCATGAATCAGTATTGGGGACTTTAGATCCCTAGAAATCACT